ATATATAAAAAATAATAATAAATTTATTTTTATATTACTATCTAATTTTAAAATATATAATCAACGATCTAAATAATTCATTAATTATATTTTTTCGTTAAAAGTAAGAACCTACAAGTTTAAATCATATGACATGCGAGTAAAGTAAAATAAGAGAAAAAAGATGAAAAAAAATGATTATCTCTTATGCAAACAAAATATTAAAAAAAAAAAAAAACATTTAAATGTATAAAATCTTTTCATATCTAGAGATCTCACTCCTCTATATTCTCTATTTTACAATTTACTACCGTCGACGGTACAAAAACACGGTACTCAATAAATGAAATATGTTTCGCGCCGGAAAATGGTAAAACGACAACCTTACTTTTGTACGTCAGTCGGTCAGTGTCACCGTGCCGAAGATCTGCGGAATTAATGTGGGTTGATGATGGTTCGGACGAAGAATTGATCTGTTATATCAACGACGTCGTGCAGAGCAGTTGGGGTCCACCACCAATGAGAACATGGGAAGAAATCTTTTCGCTCCGGAATATACATCACGAGATCAGTGGAAAACGCAAGACCCTTTTGTCTTCTTCCTTCCACTGTCTACCAACGGACATCAGAAGAAACAGGGGGAAGGTGAAGCATCGGAAGGATCGCCGGAACTCTCGATGTCGATACTACCTCCTACGGCAGCTCCTCTGGTGCCGACGTCCAATGCTACCTCTCCTCCTCCTCCGATAGCTGCGTCTCCAGATGGCTCTACTACAAATTCTGTGGTTGAATCGCAGCCGAGTAGCCTTTCGACTGGGCTCGTGGGGCTTACAGTGGGCCTAGTGTTGGGTGGAACGTTCGTGCTGATTTGCGTGGGTATTTATGTAATTCGGTACAGGAGGAGGAAGAAGAAGAAGCTTGCACAGAACAACTATGGCGGTCCTTCCTCCTCTCCTCATCCACAAGTACCGAAAGGTTAGTGCTTTATTGTCGTCTTTTTTTATGATTGGTGTTTTGTTTCAAACTTTCAGTTCTTAGGAATGTTAGTTACTGTGCATAATTAGTATTTAAAACTATTTAACTTCTGCATTTAATAATAAAAACGATTTTATATAACTTAAGTTGACCGCTTTCTATTGAATTCTCTGGGGGGTTTCATTTATTGGCTTTTCTTATGCAATGCAGGGATGTATTTTCTGTATTTTATAAGTTTGGCTTAACTTCTTTGGTCGATTTTGAATATATTTATTTATGCAGTCGATTTCCTTTATTTAAGTATAAATTTTGGATCTTGTTTGTGCTGAGTACTAAGATGAAAATTAGATGCTTCGTCTAGATGGGTAAACCTTTTTTTTTTTTTCGGTGTTAGCTGTAATGTTGTGGGTCTCTTGATGAATGGTGATATATATATATATATATATATATATATATTTTTTTTCTTCTTGGGCTGACTTGCAGGATTTAATGTATTATTATACGCGACTATGAGTGAGATATTATGTTTTTGTGCCTTTTGTGCAATGCAAATGGAATATTTTCAGGTTTTGTTCTTTTATGGTGTTTAAGTGTTTTAGTTTCTGGCCATTTTACCTGATTGAAGTTCAGATATCTTTCTGGAAAAGGGTGTAGTGCCTGGGAGTTAGAGGCAATTTGATAGCTTTTAGTACAAATTTCTTTCTCTTTTGTAGTTCTTTTATTATATGATTTAGTTGGAGAGTCGGCCTCATTTCTAATGAATTACTCAATCCAATGATCTACCAGCAAAAATGTTTAGAACTGTCATTTATCATACTTATTTATCCATGCCAGGTAATTTACTTTCTCTTTGTTTTTCCAATATTTCTAGTTGACCATCAGCATAGGCAACAGAATGCTCCTCAAGTCACTATTCTACCAATTCCTACTCCTCCACCAGGAATTGCATCAAATCCCCATTCCTCTTTGGTTAATGTTTACCCCTCTGCTGAGCCTCCTTCAACTAGTAGCAGCTTGGACTCTGAGAAGCTACCTTCCACATCAACATCCCCTGGAATAGGCCTAGGGTTTCCACAGAGTACATTTAGTTTTGAAGAATTGGCATCAGCAACAAATGGTTTCTCTGATGCTAACCTCATTGGTCAAGGAGGCTTTGGTTATGTCCATAAGGGAGCCCTTCCAAATGGGAAAATAGTTGCTATTAAGCAGCTTAAAGCTGGGAGTGGGCAGGGTGAGCGTGAATTTCAGGCAGAGGTTGAGATCATTAGCCGTGTGCATCACAGACATCTTGTTTCACTGGTTGGTTACTGCACCACTGGGGAGAAGAGATTGCTTGTGTATGAGTTTGTTCCAAACAACACATTGGAATTTCATTTGCACGGTGAGTTCTTCTTGGTGGACCAGGGCTTCCAAACTCCAAACTGAAAAAATAAAAGAAAGAAAAAAAAATAGGGACAAGATGAGATGTTCAAATTGAAGAAGACATTGTGACAAAATACATTAAAGAAAGGGTTTCCCTCTTTGATTTTAGATGCTGACATGATACTTGATAATCATTTGGAGATTTTAGAATTTGATTAAACCATGGAAAATAAAGAACAACTCAGACATTAAAAAAAGGAAATTATGAATTGCATACTTCTTCTTATATATTGTTACGTTTAAAGCTTTCACTTAAATAGAAAATTTTCTAATGTGTATGGTGGGAAAAGCTTGTGGTGCAAGAATTAGATCATACCAACACAACTACTTTTTGGAACATAATATGCTGTATTGCTCTCTACTAAGAAAAATAGCGTTGCAGGAAAAGAGAGAGCAGTTATGAGCTGGAAAACCCGAATGAGAATTGCTTTGGGCGCAGCAAAAGGATTAGCATATTTACATGAGGACTGTGAGTGTTCCTTGCACACTTTTTAATCAGCAGTTTTGAGTCTTTGACTTGCAGTTTTTACTTTCTTAAATGTAAACATCTTCAGGTCGGCCCAAGATCATACATCGTGATATCAAAGCAGCTAATATTCTTCTTGATGAAAGCTTTGAAGCGAAGGTATATTTTATACGTGACTTTTATCTTATGTTTTTTTTGGCCATCCATATTTGTTGTTCATTTGAATGTATTATTTTTGTAATTAATTTCTGGGTACTCAGTCAGTTAGTCTATGATGCTATGATGCAGGAATAAACTGTTGAAAGTTGAAATTCATTGTCTTAGCCATCATCTTGATTTATTATTTTGCTTACATATGACCAACTGAAATTGGATTTATGTTTCTAAATCTTTTTAGCTCCTTGGATATTTCTTAGCAGAATAAAAACCTGTATATTTATGTCTTGCATAATGATCGAATCATATTTTGGATTAGATCAAATAATTGATTGGAAAACAAAGTCAAGTGTTTTTTCTTTTTTTTTTTTTGACATTGGGCAATTATTTTTACAACTTGCCCTATGAGTTGGCGGGTGAAAGTAAATTCAAGTGATCCTTAAGATTGACTAATTAAAGGGAGGATAACATTGATTGTCTAAAGGTTTTCAAGGCAACATAGCAACTGACATTATATCATGCTGAATTCCATGAAACTAACTAGTGATCAAGTTTTAGATTGCCTCAGATGGTATAAAGCATTGCTATGCTTCAATATAGTTGCTTCAGTTTTGTATAATAATTTTTTCTATTGGTTGGCAGACTGCAAAGCAATTAACCATTGATGGAGGGGTGGGCCCCCAATATCAGGGGGCCTGCTTCCTCCATCAATGGTTAAGTGAAGTGCAGCCTGTGCAAAGTGGACTGCACTTCACTTTTCTGACTTTGAAGATACGATTAATGTATAGAACTTTTGTCCAGGTTGCAGATTTTGGACTTGCGAAGTATTCTTTAGATACTGACACTCACATCTCGACTCGAGTGATGGGAACATTTGGGTAGTTTCTTATATCCTGATAATTCCAGTTTTACCGTGCTTCAGATTGTTGGAAATGTTACAAAAAATGACAGAAGCTTATTATCGGAAATGTTACAAAAAATGACAGAAGCTTATTATCTGCAATACTGTTGAACACCCTAATGTGTTTCTTCTCACAAAATTCATGAATACAGTTACTTAGCACCAGAGTATGCATCTACTGGGAAGCTCACTGAAAAGTCAGACGTCTTCTCCTTTGGTGTTGTGCTTCTGGAGATGATTACTGGACGTCGTCCTGTTGAAAAAACTCAAGAGGAAAGCATGGTTGATTGGGTATTTATTCTCTTTTATCTGTTCTAGTTCCTAAATCTCAACCAAATAAAATGACAGCATGTTGTTGGTCTTGGGTGGCTTGGAGGCTTCATGACACAATACTTGAATTTCAAATTCAGGGCTATACAGACAAGGGTTCTGTTTCAGCAAACTCTAACACCACCCCTTTCCCTAGTTTTGCCTGCTTCAATTAAATTATTGTATAACCACGTCTCATTCATTTTGGATGAATAACATTTACTTCCATGGAACTTTAGGCAAGGCCTTTGATGTCACAAGCACTGGAAACTGGGAACTTTGATGCTCTTGCTGATCCAAGGTTGGAGGAAGATTATGAATCCAGTGAAATGGCTCGAATGATTGCTTGTGCTGCTGCCTGTGTGCGCCATTTAGCAAGGCTTCGGCCACAGATGAGCCAGGTTCTACTAATTATGTGATAATAAGTTTCACTTCTTATTTCTTAACCAAGTCTCTTTGCTTTATCAAATGACTCCAGAATTTGGAGTTATCATTTGTTTTTGTTTGATAATGTATCCAAAATCAAGATTCAATTTGAGTCTGAAAAAGTTTGGCCTGTTAAATTGATACTAGTTCTGCAAGATGGCAAGAATGTGATATTTCAATTTGACATGCAAGCTTTAGCCTTGATGTTGGCTCATAACTGTTTCTCCATTTTGCAATGCAGATAGTCCGGGCTTTGGAAGGAAATTTGGCTCTGGATGATCTGAACAGGGGAATGACCCCTGGGTATAGCACAGCTTTCAGTTCCCTTGGAAGCCTTGATTACAGCACTACTCAGTACAAGGAAGACTTGAAGAAATTCAGGAAGATGGCACTCGAAACACAAGAGCTGGCTAGCAGTGAATATAGTGGCCTGACCAGTGAGTACGGTGTCAACCCATCCACGTCCAGCACTGATGGGCAACCAACTACCCAAGAGATTGAATTGCCAAAAACACAGAAAGAAACCAAGGATTCAGTTCAAAGCTCTTGAAAGTCAATGATTGATTCCTTTGAAAGTCATCATTCATTCCCATGCATCTCCTCACAAACAGCCTCAATCTGAGTGAATAACAATGCGAACTAACGTTGGTGACCATGATGCATTCCCCTCCCTCCCCACGGATTAGGTTTTCCCATGCGTTCAGAAAGTATTTGCTGAAAGATTCGAGTTCTGAGAGTTTGGATGGATTTTGATATTCCACTAGATGTGTGATTTCAACCTATTGTTTTGGTTGTTCAAAGTTGCTGAACTTCATTTTGTATAAGTTTTATGAGCCAATTTGAAACAGTGCATGGTTGTACCATAGAACAACTTAACGCAAACAATTATGCGACGATGCATGGAGTCTAAAAGGAAAAAAAAAAAAAAAAATTCTTTTACAGCTTTAGAAGGGCATTAGTCCGATGTTTTTTTTTTTAAATGTCATCTTCAAGGTTCAAGCTAAATATATTTAAAAGCATTGTGTTCTATTTCCAAAAAGATCAAATATGATTTCAAGAAAACTTTGTGAGCTTAACATCTTTTGTGGGGTACAGACTAGACATTCCCTTTGTTGTGTATTCTCGACAAACACAAGGGGTCCAACCAAACAATTATTAACAAAAAGGACCAATTATGCACATATTTGCTTTTAGTTTGAATTGAATTTCGAAGTTTGAACCATTGTTACCGCCACGAGCTCAAATACCCAAGGCTGGGGCCTGGGACTGGGAGGGAATAAAATGTGCACTTTCACTCACGGCTAAAAGAGATCAAGTGGGCCGTCCGTGGGCGTTTTAACTTTTAAGGGTATCATCAACCAGCTTCTTTTAATAGTAATAAGAAAATGTTAAATTTATTGATAAATAAATACTGTATTATTTTAAATTTTAAATTTAAAATTTTGAAATTTTGTTTTTGTAATATGAACAAGAAACTCTTAGGATTTAAATAAGTAAAAAATTAATATGCTTAAAATTAACCATGTTCACTTGGGGATGATCACTGTGTGATGGATTGAATTTGAAATAAGCCAATACCCTAACTCTCCGATCCAAATTAAAAAATCTATATTATATTTATAACAATTTATAATATCA